ACTCGTCTCTGGATCACCCTGAATATCCCACGCACATACACTCTGCCACTCACACACACACACCGAACTCTGCCTCTAAGCTACAGCGGCTATGGCCGCCTAACCCCTACTAGCTATGGATACTCTATCTTCCCTCGGCCCACTTCGTCCTCGGGCATCTGCAAACCACCTCGCACAAGACGCTAGGGCAGAGCTTCCGCATGGCTCACGCAGGAATGAATGAATGGCTGGACGCTGCCTCTTGATTTATACTTCTGTAAGTCGCTGGTCTGCTCTTTTCCACCGGGCCCACRCTGCACACAGTCCCTCATGGTACTTGCTGACTGTACGAAGTGAGACTGGGACTGGGTACTGTTGACTAAGCGAAGTTGGACTCACCACTTGCCCACTTGCCTCTGGTCTGCTGTGAATAACGTGAGAAAAACTTGAAAGGCCACTTCCGGACCTTCCGGAAGTCTGTGGACTTGGCCTTTCGAGACTGTAGCAGCTACGACCTTGACCTTTCAGGACTGTGGCAGCTACGACCTTGACCTTTCAGAATTGCTACAGCTACGGCCTCTACACAAGTACGACCCCTAGTCGACAGATCTACAGATCGAGCCCCTACAGCTACACAGACCTACGACAAGCAACAGTCAACCTACTAAAACACAGGTCACGGGTTCAAAAACTCACAGGGCCGACTTGATACTTTACACAGGTAAGGTAGGGTAAGGTGAGGTATGGGGATTGAGCCCTGGGATCCGCATCTGTGTCTGCAAAAGGTGAAAACCGTTTCACTCCCACCGGCCTAAATTCGAGGTCCGATGATAATACTTCAGTCCACGGCAGGACCTTTTCCTTTCTTATCTCTCTCGTAGGCTCGGACTATATCGGGAGCTGTCTCTAGAAGTTCTGTTCGCGTGAACCAGAGGTCGTCCTCTGGCTCTTGAAAGGAGAATCTAACTTTATATTGTTTCTGTGGACGACCTCTACCTCCTGTTCTGAAGACATCTTCTCCTGCGATGCCGTCAATGTCGTACCTTCCATCCATGTCCGGAGGGATCATGGACCTCCGTGATGGAAACTGTTGACTTGTGGTACACGGCAGCAACTTTGATGCATGAACACCGGGTAGGTGTGGAGGTGCGCTGGAATCTCGACTGTGTCGGACGGTCCATCCTCTCCTCCCTTGACTTCTAAGACTGGCCACGGTCCTCGGTATGCAGGTAGTAACTTTTGTGAGATGTTCTCCTCGGGAACAAACTCTTTGGATTTGACCCAGACTAAGTCGCCTACTTGAAACTGTGATGGGCGACGGTGCTTATTCGCTTGCTCTATCATTCTATGCTGGGCCTTCCTGAGGTTCTCTGTGACGGTAGCAATTTCCTCCTCGTAGTGCAGTGCAAACTCCCTAGTGCCGGGCGGTAGCCTTTGAATCTGATCCCGGTTCAGTCCCTCAAACGGTCTACGCGGTTTAAAGGACTTATGTAACTCGTTGGGAGTGCGACAAGTCGCTAGTGTACACTATTATTGTATGCGCTGGCTACCTTGGGAAGCATCTCATCCCAGTTAAGCTGATCAGGTCTAATATACATTCTGAGAACTTGTTGCAGGATTTTGTTCATCTGTTCAGTCTGACCGTTAGTCTCAGGGTGACGGCCAGATGACATCAACAACCTAGAGCCATAGACTCTCATCAACTCCTACCAGTTCTGACTAGTGAACCTGGTATCTCTGTCACTAACTATTGACAGCGGGAGACCATGTTCACTGACCCAATGATCAAAGAACTTGTCTATAACTAAATATGTTCATCCCTCTGCGGGTAAAGGAACAAAAACTGCATATTTACTAAATCTATCAACTACAACCATGACTTGGCTCTTACCATGCCTGCTCTTGACCCCAGCAACCATAAAGTCAATGGACACAGAATCTTCGGGTCCTGTGGGGATAGGCAAGGGTCTGAGAAGACCGAGAGGGGCTCGCGTCGTGGTCTTATTCCGTTGGCAGACTTTGCACCAGCGTGCATACTCTATGCAGTCGGCCTTCATACCTGGCCATGTAATACGCGCGTATGAGGTTGGCTAATGTCTTTTGCCAACCAAAATGTCCCTCTGTGTCGTGGCATTCCCCTCAGATCAAACTACGGATCTCTTCACTATCAGGAACGCACAATCTGTCAGCTACATTGGTCTTCTCAAACCCATCTGTAGTACGGTAGTCTGGCTCAGACTCTGGAGACTCCTTAACTCTCTTGACGAGATCACTGTAAATAGGGTGCTGCGCATATGCCTCTTTGACTTTCTGTTGCAGGTCTCTCCCTATATCCAGATAGTGAACTATCGCTCCAAAGTCATCAGCTCTTCTACTTAGAGTGTCCGCTACTATATTTCCCTTTTGCTGGCTTAAGCTCAAAGTCATATTGATCTATCTCTGTGGCCCACCTAGTAAGCTTACGTGTCATCTTGGCCTGTGTCTTCAGCCACCTTAGTGTCTCGTGGTCTGAATAGACTTTGAAGTGCCTCCCAAGCAAGTAGTACTTCCAGTGCTCTAGTGCTTGCCTGAGAGCGTATAGTTCCCTCTCATAGGTAGATGTCGCTACCTTCTCTGAAGGCATCCTAGCAGACATGAACTCTACGGGTCTATAGCCATTGCCATCATCTTGCTGTAGAACAGCACCTATACCATACTGACTTGCGTCAGTGGTGACGACAAAAGGCAGGGATGGATCGGCTACCTTAAGGACTAGATACTTTATCAAAGCCTGCTTCAACTTCTTCAGGGCCGACGTACAGTCTTTGTCCCACTTCCAGATTGCTTCTTTCTTTAGCAACCTGTGAAGAGGTCCAACGATGGTGGAGAAGTTTTTATAATATTTGGCTAGGCCTAAGAACGACCGCAACTCTGTCAGTATGCGGGGCGTTGGCCAATCTCTAATCGCTGCTATCTTGCTGTCTTCAGGTTTTATGCCGTCTCCGTCTAAGACGTGGCCCAAGTACAAAACTTGTGTTTTTTCCCATTCACACTTCTTTGCGTTGATCTTGAAGTTAGCTTCTCTCAGCTTCTCCAAGACCTGCCTCAGATGGCCCTCGTGCTCCTGGAGGGTCTTACTAAAAACTAAAATATAATCGAGGTATACTGCCACAAATCTATCTAACCATGGCCTAAACAGATCATTCATGCAGCGCTCGAATGTAGTTGGCACATTGGTTAGTCCAAAGGGCATCTCTATAAATTCGTAGTGCCCATATCTAGTCCTGAAGGCTGTCTTATACTGATGATCAGGATGAACCTCTATCTGATGATAGCCAGACTCCTTCAATTCTTCTGCCACGCCTGTGAGGGAAGTGCTTAGAGAGACCCTAACACAAGCAGCCTCTGGACAAGGCACTGGCCAGCAACCTCTGCCATAGACACATGTGGTTTGGGAGTCTTTGTCTCCACAAGGTCTAGAGGTAAGGGCAGTTGTGACCCCTACCGGTGGTTGCCTTTTGCTGCTTGTGCAGCATACAGGGCCTCTCTATATTTGGGGCAATATTTTATGATGTGCCCCGGATCACCGCAATAGATGCACTGATCGTGGTCTATTCGCCTCTACCATAATGTCTGTTCAAGGCCCAGATCTTCCCAGGGTCTGCCTTGTGGCCAGCCAGGGTGCCATCCACCCCTCCCGGGAGGTCACCGACTGGAACGCGGACGATTTGGCGGGGGACCTTGACCCCTACCTTCTATGCCTCCAACCCCCTGAGCGCCCTGTCCTCGACCACCAGAGGCCCGACCCCCTTGGCCCCGACCTCCTCCTCTTCCTTCCGGCCTCCCTCCAGTCGCGACAACAGCATAAGTCCTCCCCTGACTCACACTACTGTCTTCCTCCTCGAGGCCCCAGTCAATCTAACTATACGGGACCTCCTCCATACCACCTTCATCTAATGTACGGATCAAATGATCCTTGGCCCTTACCTGGCTAGAAATGGTACGACCCTTCCACTTTTTGCCCTTGTCCAGATCCTTATGCTAGAAAGTGGAAATTGGCATGGACTGCGCTTCAAACCGCACCACCTCCATACTCAATGTATCATAAGTCATGGTGGGCTGCTTACTCTTTTCGAAAAAGTGCCCACGAAGAGGTTCGGGCATGGCACGATAGAATAAGTTAACCAGTTGGGTCTCAGTGACCCCATGGTCTGGGACGGCGACCAACTCTTGCATAACGCCTTTGAGTGCCCTGTGGCCCAAGATGAAGAAAGATGTGAAAGGACAACTAGTGTTAGAGATTTTTAGAGGACGAGTAGGGGCCCTTATAGACAGTGGGGCCACCCGCAGTTATATCAGTAGAAAAGTGCTGCAGAAGTTAAAGTTGAATCTGACGGTCCCAAAATTAGAAGACCCTATAGTCAGTGTCCTCGCAAACAATCGCACTATGCGAGTCAAGGATTACGTAGAGGGAGTCCAGGCATATTTTCGCCTAGAGAAGGATGGGAAAGTAGAGAGAGTTCTCCATTCCCCGACTCTCCTCGCAGAAGACAACATCCCATTTGACATGGTCCTAGGAATGGACCGGGGAGAGGCAGTTGGGGCCACACTCCACGTGAGAGAGCACGAGTGTAGGCTCCCTAGTCCATCAGGCGAAGTCAAGGCGACTCGTCTGTTCCATGTGTCAGGAGTAAAAAACTCCCTGGCACATTGTTGTCTCAGTGCTCCCGTGTTTGCACGATTGGTGAGGAAGGAGCAGTTAGAAGAATAGGTTTTTGTAGCCTATGTTAGGCCTGTTACTGAGCCTACGGATGAGAAACCCATAGATCCTGCTATTGCCAAACTGTTGGAGGAGTATACAGACTTAGCTAAACCGCTTACAGGAGTAGTGTCACGACCGATCCAGCATCGTATTGAGATAAGAGTCTGGCAGTAAGACTCCTAAGGGAGCTATCTACAGAATGTCCCCAAGGGAGCTAGAGGAGTTGCTCAAGCAGTTAGATGAGCTCCTCGAGAAGGGTTGGATTAGGCCCAGTTCATCTCCATTTGGAGCACCTGTTCTTTTCGTTCCCAAGAAGGAGGGAGAGCTTAGAAGGTGTATCCACTATATAGGTCTTAATGCAATCACAGTGAAGAATGTTGGATCGGGTGTCGGGCTGCAAATATTTCTCAACTGACTCAACTGAGAAATTCAGGGAGGGGGTTGACCTTGGAGTAAGTTACCATATTATTCTCACATTGCGCAACACGAGCTAGCCATCTGGCGAAGCTAGACGCTTCGTCCTTTAGGGCGTGGAAGGTGATGAGGACTTGCTCCTCAGGTATGATCTTCTGCAGGTGAACGTACGAATTGGCGTTCGCCTTCACCTCCCAGTTATTGAAATTCTCTTCCTTCTTTCCGCTGTAGGAATCAGGAAACTAAACTTTAACTGGCTCTCTACGAGTGCGAGCTTCCTCCTTCTTTGGGGCAGCAAGCTTGGCGCCTTCTATGGCGCCCGCGCGGAATCGCTCAGTATTTTCTATCCTGGCCCTTATCTCCGTGCCCACATGCATCATCATTTTGTGCGCAAACTCTCTGAACCCTCGGCGTATGGACTGTAATGCGATGTCTTGGCCCCTAACCAACTGATATTGCTCCTGTTGGGCTTTCGCCAATAATTCTATATTCCTAGCCATGATCTCCATCTTTCCCAGCACATCCGCCTGGCCCTCCATCTGTTGTCTTTGCTCCTCCACCACTCTCAATTCCTTCGCCACCTTGTTTGCGGCATCCAGTCGTTGCCTCTTTTCTCTTGCAAGGCGCAGCTTACATTCCTCCTCCTCTATGGTCTGGCGGCGTAAGGGGTCTTCCTCTGCCTCTAACTCTTTCACCACCGCCTCTTGTTCTTCCCTAGGGACATATAGCATCGCTTCCTCCTCTTCTTCCAGCGACAAATTTGCAACCCACTCCGAAATCTTTTTCTCCCTCCACTGGTCATCTTGTTTCGTGTCGCTCGACTCCCCCCTTTCCGTTCTGGTCCTTTCTAAGTGGACTTCCTCCTCCACTTCCACTTCCTCTTCTTCTACCGCCTTCAACTTCTCCTCCTCTTCTTTTTTCAACTTCTCCATCTCCTCCTCCAGTTTCTTCTTCTTCGCCGCCTGCTCCTCCAGCAAGGCCAACTTCTTGGCCTGCTTGATCAACTCCTTCTTAGCCTCTTTCTTTTTTCTCTCTTTCAGTACGGCGGCGGCTTGCTTTTCTTGAGCTTTCGTGTACGGGGTGGTGCTCTTACCACTACGCAGGTCAACCATGGTGTCAGATGTACAACCGAGTGACAGTTCCACTCCTCACCACTTAGACTTCCACCCCCTAACTGACTTAACTTACCGACTTTCTAAGGACCACAGAGCCTAACCATTTGATCCAGCCTAGTTACCACAGCCGACAGAAGCTTTCGTCACCACTATCCTTTACAATCCAGACCCAAGTGCCCTGCACCTGCAGTCAATCCCACCTGTCTTTCACTCCGGTTTAGGACCCTGTCTCTAGCCTAGACCTAGTACTAACCTGTCACTACTGGACTTAAGCGCTGATCAGGAGGCATTTAAGGAGATCCCCCATAACTCCTCAAGAATTGTTTAACATCGCAGACAGAATGACGCGATCAGCAAGTCCTACAACTCGGATTTTGGGCCACCCATGCCACACTGTTCAGCCCGCCGGTCTGTACCGGTCCTTGGGAGGGTTTGTCCTCCGGGACTTGTCAGTCGTCAGACATGGAATTAAGCCCTACTCAGCCCATGTGGGTTTGGTCAACCCAGCTCTACGACCTCATACACGGAGTTCCTGTCACCTGAACAAAAGAGACTCAACGCATAAAGAAGAGACAGACAGACTCAGCAAGTACCATAGGGTGAGTGCACATCCATAGGGCGAGGGGATAGGATGAAGGCTTACGAGAATATACCAACTCCACCTTGGTCAATTTCATGGTCAACAAACTCCGGTCAATGTTGGTCAACGCTTGGTCAACTCGCTGGTCAACTGCTTGGTCGACGCCAGTCAACTCCTTGGTCAACTCCTCGGTCAAAGTCTTGCTCAATGTTGGTCAACCCCTCGGTCAACGCCTTGGTCAACCCTCAAATCAGCTATGGCTGCCGACCCCTTTCTTCCTCACCAACCTTCTTGTTCTCCTTCTCCCTCCTTCCTTCTTTCTCCTTCTTTCTCACTTCACCTATGGCTTCCTTCACTTTCGTTGTCCCTCCTTCCTCTTCCTTAGCTATTACTTCTTCTTTCCTCTTCATCTCTCCCTCCTCCTTCACTCTTCTTTCTTCTTCGTCTTCTCCGTGTCCGAGCTCAGCGGCTATGGCCGCCACCTTCTTCCTTGGACCACACAACAATCTTGTATTGCTCCTCTCTCTCTCTCTCTCTCTCTCTCTCTCTCTCTCTCTCTCTCTCT